ACGAAGCTCGCCGAGTGTTGGCGATAATACCGAAGGTGCTGCCATTACTCAGGCGTCGTGCTGCGCTTCGTTTAGCGACCGTATTGATGACCGTCTCCGACACGGCCATCCTGCGTGCACACGCCCTCGTGTGTTAGCCGTGTGTTAGCCTGCAACCAAATAATCAACGAAAATACTTGCTCGACTCGGTCAATCCTGACCAGATAATTATATTCTTTATTGCACTTAAAATATGATACAGAAAAAAAATAACAAAGTAAACATAGTTCACAAAGGTGGACTTATCTCTAAAAGAGATCTCTTCCAGTCAACCCTGGTTGTGGAAGAAGATGTCAGCGGGCAATATAGTGCAAAAAAAAAAACTAAATATATACTAGAAATAAAGGTAATAATAACCACTTATACATACATACATACATACATACATACATACATACATACATATATACATATATACAAAAATATATAATACTATACATATATAATACCTGATGTAAAGACTACTTATACATACAAACATATATACATATATATAGTTAATATATAAAATATGAAAATGGAGAAAGGTACTGATTGATATTGTCTACATTTGTGAGAATAAATAATTTTTTAATTTACATTTAAAAACATGAATAGATGGGCTCTCATGGATGGATTTGGGCAGTTGGTTCCATAGTACTGCGGCATGGACAGAAAAAGAGTTTTGTTGGAATTTAGTATTGCTCCTAGGAATGTCGAGCATAGAAGTACTGCAAGATCTTCTGGAACGTGTAGGGATTGGTAGAAAGTTAAAACGGGAACGAAGGTAAGGAGGGAAATTTTGATTTTTAAGGATATTATAAAGGAATGATAGGATGTGCATATTACGGCGAAGACGGATGGGGAGCCACTTAAGTTGAGCACGGAAGTCAGAGATGTGGTCATATTTCCGCAAGCCAAAGATAAAACGTATGGCGAGATTCTGAAGACGCTCCAGTTTATTAAGTAGCTCCTCTGTCACATCCAGGAAGCAGACGTCGGCGTAGTCGAGAATGGGTAATAGGATGGATTGCGCTAGCATTATTTTGGTTTTGAATGGGAGAAAGTATTGGAGACGCTTGAGAGAATGAAAGGAAAAATGCATACGTTTACTTAGTTCGTTAATATGAGGTGCCCAAGACATGTTACAATCAAAGATGAGACCTAAATTTCTCACCTTATCCGAGTAATGTATAGGGATTCCAGAGTACAGGATATCAGGTACTAAGGTCCAGTCAATCCTACTTCGTAGTCTGCTGCTACCAATAATTATAGATTGCGATTTTTTGGGGTTTACTAATAGACCGAAAGATTCAGCCCAGCTTTGGATCGCAGCTAAATCATTGTTCAAAGCCGTAACAGCCTCAGGCAACTCAATTAAATTACAATGTCGGTATATCTGCAAGTCATCTGCATACAAATGGTAGGGAGAAGAAATGACATGTGAGATATTATTAATGAAAATAGAAAAAAGTAGTGGGGAAAGTACGCCGCCTTGGGGAACACCAGCTGTGAGATCCAACCATGACGATAAGTTATCATTGGCTGTCACGCGCTGCCGGCGCCCGAAAAGATATGATTGGAACCAATTTATAACTGCGGGAGACATATTAACAGTTCGTAGAGTGCCAAGAAGTATATCGAAATCAACCGAGCTGAACGCGTTACTGAAATCAAGCAAAACCATTACAGTGAGCTTAGTGTTGTCCATGGCGGACCGAATGTCCTCCGTGATGTTCAGCAACGCGCCAACAGTACTGTGAAAAGGACGAAAGCCTGATTGGAAGGGACATAACAAATTATTCGAGGTGAGGTAAGTGTAAAGTTGGCTGTTAACGATAGATTCTAGGACTTTGGAGAGGATAGGGAGAATAGATATAGGGCGAAATTGGGTGGGGCAGGTAGGATTAGAGGTTTTAGGTAATGGGATGAAACTTAACTTTAAATCTGAATCATCTTTATTCTAACGAAAAGCTTTAACGCTAACACCTTTGTTAATTTTTTTTTTAACTCCAAGTCACTATTTATCTCTAATGTAACTAATAACGTCTAATCTAACTAATAACATCCAGAGCCATGTACCAACATCATTCAACACTTTAGCAATCAAAACTAATTTTCAAATTTACTAGCACCTCTGTAAACCACTCTTAGGCCACGGCTTTACAAGCCAACCAGCAATCACAATTGCTCCACAATCCAGGTGCATCCACTACGGGATCACCGTGTGTATCATCCTCTCGATGACTACACACTATGGTCATAACAGACCCCGACCTCCGCCAGAACTAAACGCACATCACACACCCACGGTCTATATAGTTTGAGCTTCCTCAAAAGACCGACTTTTACCAGGCTATGACTACGTAATAGTTACTAGTACGGTCGACACTACTTCGGCCGTCAGAATGCTTACATCGGTTTCCATCGATTTCATTAAAACATTTGCTTGGCATGATGATCATTATTTACATCAACCTCTATTGGTACATGACCTACAAGAATTTTTGTGTAAAGAATTTATAGCCGTCATGTTAATAAAAAAACCTTTCAATATCTCATGTTCTATCATGATACCATTTTGTAACTAATAACTAGGCAAAACATAATATTTCAAAAGATTTCAAGAGAATGACTGCTAATCGTTACAAAACAAATTTTACTCTGTGCGGAATATTCCGTTTTGATCAATACTAGAAATTGCAAGGACAAAATCGTTAACCACACAATTTGACTGCTAAATGTTATCTTACTAACGAATATTCAGCATCATGATCATAACAAAAGCAATACAGATTACCTCTACGCCATTGAGCATTTGAAGATGGATGTACAACACATACATCTACGCGTCGTTCCGTTCGTGTTGCACCCATATTGCTGCCGTCCACTTGACTGGCACTCCTTATGCACCGGAGCGTAATGTGACCAGGCTTGCCACATTTGAAGCACACCAGAGACTTCACTGCAGGCTGCAATGCCGTTGCTGTCATCGAAGGTCGTTCCACACTGTCATTTACCTTGCTTCTACACTCTGACCGCTTATGACTCACTTTTCTGCACTTATAACATTTTAACATTAGCTTGCCTCGTTTAGCATCAGGCACTTTTGAAAAATTATTAGATAAACTAGCTTTGCGTTTCAAATGTGAGAATGCGTGCAATCCCTGCTGCAGTCGATCTCGCGAAGCAATTTTTGTAGTAAAGGCCAATCGTTGCAATTTCGAATTAAACTGACATAAGTGAGCAAGGGCAGTCGCTATTGCTATCTGATTCTTGCTAGCGTCTTTCCAACTATTAGTCAGTGACGTCATCAGGCGATTTGCGTACGTAACGAGTTTCTTTTTTCATTTGGTTTGTCACTGTTAAAATTAATTAGCGTACCAGCCAATGTCTCGGTGGAAATAAATCTCGCCTTGAAAATCACCTTCAACTCTTCCTATGTTATTCTCTGGTATACAAATTGTGATAGCCACGTCGACCCTTATCCTTTTAATTCCTTACTGACTGTTAAAATAAACTAGCCGCCGTATGGAGGGTATTCGGCAAAACACAAAACTACAGTCACAAATCAAGATCTTGCGTCCGTATCCATATTGTCAGGGTCAAACTCGCGTAACTTGACGTTCTTCTTCATCTGAGGCATTTGCAAGGCCTCGATAAGAGATCACATAATGACATTTTGTTGTTCAAACATTGCACGTCATTGTTCACGCAGAGTTAGTTCTTTTTGCAATTGAACCAACACTGATCCCGCTTCTGATATCGAAGCAGCATTAATTTTCTCTATTATTTTCCATTATTTTATCATGAATTATACAGTGGGCGTTATATGGGAAGTGTTGGTTCAAATGAAAGTCGATGCAATCACAGTTATATTTCAAATTAACAATAATCACTTTGTACATAGTTAAACAGCACTTCACTACACAACCATATACCACTTCACTATTACCACGTATAGACAATACGGAACGCGAGACAGTTCCTAGTGGAGCGGTCCTAAGCTTGGCTCGGCTCGAAGGCAAGTGTCTAGCCTTCTTAGCACCCCTCCCTTAGCTAGGCTCCGTCGTAGCACGAAGCTCGCCGAGTGTTGGCGATAATACCGAAGGTGCTGCCATTACTCAGGCGTCGTGCTGCGCTTCGTTTAGCGACCGTATTGATGACCGTCTCCGACATACTTTTTTAGTTCATTTCGCTATTTTATTATTATTTACGTCTGAAAACTAGGGCTGTACTACATGGAAAACAAAAAGTATAACTTTTTAACGGTAGATTATAGGATTCTTATAAGGTAAGCCGGATAGGAATCAGGTTATAATAATGGGCTCTTCGCCACTACAGTCGGTCAAGTAAGTTCAATACTAATAAACCCTAACGCGGGTCCTATTGCTACAGGATTTAACATACCTGTGTGAGACCTTTTTAAAGTAAATATATCTATATGTATTTTAGAACGTTTTGTTTATCATTGATATTGTAAACCATTACCGATAAAACTTTAGTGAGATATTGTTTTACGTGGCGCTGGAGTCATATCTAATAATTTGAGATTTATTAGTCTGAACTCAAAAGTTTTAACTATTAAATTCAGCCCTTATTCATGTCCTCTAACACGCTGGCCAAGTGCGGATTGGCGGACTTAACGGCTTTCGAAAACTAGCTAAGTTCTCTCAGACATACAGGTTTCCTCACGATATTTTCTTCACCGTAAGACAAGTGGTAATCATGCTGAACATGACCCGGGATTTGAACCCGCTTCACTCGGTCTCCCAAGCGAGCGTACCTATTAAATAATATGTATGTGTGTCTATTTGTGTATAAGTATCTGAGAAAAGCCAGAATACGTCAATAGTAAACAAAACAACTTCTGAACTATAATCCTATCATTAGAACTGAATCACTTAAAACATTACAACTTGAACACTAAATAAGCATTAAAACAAGTTTTACGAAGAACAATAAACCAATGTTTGGGTCTAGATGGTGTAGACCTTTAATATGTTACTCGCTAATACTGTGACTAATGAGGCTTCTAATTGGACATAATTGTCTTGATCGATAGTATAGCGGCCACGGTAACGCTTTGTGTTCAACCTGTATATAGTAGACAATTTGTATTAATTGTACAATAGGCTTTGATTACATTAACATACTATCTGTAAGCAAAAATAGATCTAGGTATACTAATTTTAAAAAGAGGAAATATTTGATTGTTTGTTTGTACTGAATAGGCTGCGAAACTACTGAACCGATTTAGATAAAATTTGGTATGAAGATAGTTTGGGTGTCTGGGAAGGACATAGGATGGCTTTTATCACAGAAATAATCCCTAAAAAGGCTGAAAATGTGGATGAAAATTTGAATTGGAAAGCAAGCTAGGGACGAACCCGAGCGAAGCGAGGGTGAGTCGCTAGCAATATATAAATAGATGTTTTTTCGAGATTATTCCCCCTGGCTTTTCAGAAAAAAAAAGTGTTATGGTATATATCTACCAATAATAGGTTCTTATTTATAAATGTACCTGTACGACGGAGTTCAATCGGTTTTTTTTTTTTTGATAAGATATAAAAATCGAGTTTTTTTTAGGAAAAGACACCTATGTAGATAAACTTGAAAATCAAAACCTTATCTAAATACATGATCTACGAGTATATCGTTCAAACCGGTTTCCAAGATGCACGAAATAAATTTATTATATTGCTCATTCAATCTATACTATATTAATATTATAAAGAGGTAAAGTTTGTGAGTTTGTGAATTGTGAGTTTGTGGCATTGTAGGCGGTAATCTCTGGATCTACTGAACCGATTTAGATGAAATTTGGTTAGAAGATAGTTTGAGACCCTGGGAAGGTCATAGGATACTTTATCTCCTGGAAATCATCCCTTAAGGGAGTGAAAACGGGGATGAAAGTTTGTATGGGGAACCAACCTAGGGACGAACCCGAGCGAAGCGAGGGTGAGTCGTTAGTACCTATAAAATAAACTTAAATATCATACATGGTATTTTAGATGTGGATGAGAAAGAATATTTAGAGCTGTATTAGCTCTATAAAATACTCTAGATGCATACGGAAATATTTGAAACTTTTGCAATTAAAAATTAACTATACGTGTAATGGAAGCATACAACAAAGTAACCAACATGTTTTCTTAAAACTATATTAACGTTCCGTTCCTTTGAGACGGGAATCTATTAAAAGTGATAACTCCCGTGTAGTATACTATGTACTCCGCTTCATTTGCAACATAAATAATTTGTGTACTAGTACGGAACCCTCAGTGAGCGAATACGATTCGCACTTGGCCAGTAAATTAATAATTATATAGCATTTTTCTATTTAATAAAAATTAAGTATTCGTGCCCTGGCTAAACTTTAAAAAATATATTTATCAGGAATTTTCGTCTTTGAAATTAATGCTCAGCGTGTCTTTGAAGCTTTGAGGTGTCAGACAAAGAGACTTCATTTTCACCCACCGACTTCAATTCCGTGTCAACTTTGAAAGTGATTTCGTTGTCCTTGGCTGGTTTCTGATGAGCCAAAAGTCACGGTCATGACTGTAGCATTGTTTTGTAGGTAAGATTAATCTTTAAAAGATACATATATAATATTCATATACATACCTACCTATCAGTTGCGAAGGGTTATACGTATTAATGCATATAACCCACCCTATATATATATATATATATATATATATATATATATATATATATACGTAAAACATATATATATACCTTTTGCCACTGCTACCTATAGTTGTTCTCAAATTTTATGTAAATGACTCTTAATTTTAATCCAATTTTATAAATTTTACTTAATAAATATACAGTATACATATGAATATGTAATGAGGGTTAACAATTTGTATGATCAGAAAACATAAGAAATGTAATTTATAATACTACCGTAGTAGGTACGTGTAAATGAGTTCATTGCTATTTCTTAAGACCTTACTAAATATTAAATTGCTACAACAAAAATCTTAAGCCAATTAACACAACACAAATACAAACGAAAATATTTCACGCTAAGTAAATGAAAAAAGTGAAAATTGAATTCTACTCTCAACCCGATTTTTAGTCGATTTTGACGTTATACCTTATTCGAGAATTTTAAGCGAGCGCGCTTCGAATCGATGCGTGGTCCTTTTTTATTGCACATTCACACATTGAACCAAAAAATCCCATACAATAGACGCTGTACACTCATTTCAACCTCAGAGAGTTTATACTCACACACGGCCTGCTTCAACAAGAATATGTATCAAGTTGGGCGCCAGATGTAGAGCATGTTTAAGCGTAACAGTGCAGTGGTTCAAAATCTTTTGTTTTTAAACTATTAATTTTTATTATGTGAACTCTTTAGTCATTTCGTCACCCGGTGAGAGGAATCTAATTTAAATTGTTTCGTGTTCTAATAAACAACTTGTGCGTATATAATTTAAACTCCAAAAAGCTAATGACTCGACAGTTTTCAAATTGAATTTACTAAAAAATTCAATTATTTTTTTATTGTTTCATTTTTAATAACAAAACAATATAAAAAGGACATAGAAAACAACAACCTATAGTACGGTAATATATAATACAGATAGACATATGATGATCATGGCTATAAAGAACAGTTTTAACCACGATATCCAGTTAATCAACAGTCTCACCTGCATGAACTGTCGTACACAATCAGCGCCATGCTCTCGCAGAAAGGTCTGTAAAGTTTGAACTCCTCGAGCTGACAGCCGATACCCGTTACCATTCGAGCTGCTCGCGAAGAACACGTTTGGAGACGTTCCTTCTCCCATCGTTGACCAAATAGACATCCACAATGCAAAATACGAGAAAATTAATTGTAATCTGTTCACTTTTCAGTATTGTTCATGTTAGTTTTATTACCTAACCATCCATAAAATTATGGAAAGAAGTGTTCTTAATTAGTAAAATTACTCAATCTGATATACTTTATACAGTCACATTTTTGCTGTAGCACTTTTCAATTCCGTTAAAATTAATTCCTCGTAGGTATGTGAGGATCTATGTCACTACACATCACATTACTGACATCATCTTTCATCAACACTAGGGAAGGGAATGGCAATATCTTGCACTATTCACTGATTACGATATCGATTATTTTATCACACTAAATCTAGTATTGCGATTATTCGTGCATAAATTTTATCATCAATTTAATATATTTAAATGTTTTATGAGTTCATAGAAAACATTATTTCAAGAATTTCTTGTATGTACATGTATTTACGTAAAAATACACAAAATATTTTTATTTTATAATATTTTTTTTTAATTTAGTTATTGTCGTTTCAAAATCGATTATTTTATAATTCGATATAATATTTTAAAGTACATATAATATATTTCTAGATTCTATTCAAAGCGATATTCGTAGCAGTTCGTAGCGCTCAGCCGGCGCTGTCGACGCGCGTGTAAACACTACGCTACGGAGCGGCGTAGCGACGTAGGCATTGGCAAAGTTCGCGTGACGTCAACGACTGGGTGTTTAAAGGAACAGCTGGTCAAGAGAGCGCCTTTATATATGTAAAGAAATCTAAACTAAAAAGTCGCAAAACATGCCATAAAAATACCATCGAAAATAGAAAAAACCGATCAAAATATTTATTATGTAAAACTGAACAAAAGTTAAGTTAAAATAAGTTTTGTCATAAAGTTAAAGAGTACTAAATATTTTTCTAAAATGGACTCGATAAAAATGATTCAATTCAAATATGACCTATATTAATTTACTATTTACATACATTTGTGACGATGATCAACGATGACGTTATCGATACTTGGTAAAGTAATTAGTGCCAGAGTTCTCTTTGAAATATAGTTCAATAATACCTCATCAAAGATAAATGTTTATTAGAAACAAGGTTATTTATGTAAAATCTTCATTTTAGACTAATCTGTTGAGAAACAATTTAACGTTACAATCTGACTTTAATATGGCTTATATTTTAAGGCGCTTAAGTCCTTAAGCGATTGTTTGTGAAGTACTTAATTGCATAATGGATAAATGTGAATGGTCAGAAGCTTTATACTTATTTACATATACATATAATAAAATTATAAATAAGTCGAATCTGTAAATTAAAAATGAATATGTTTTTCTGTTTGTAGCGTCCCATAAATTGTTATGTACAATAAAATCAGTCATTTAAGTGTACAAATGTAATTCGACATTTGGGTGAAGGCAGAGTGAGTCGCCAGTGAACGAAATGGCCAAGCTGAATTGTGTAACAGTTATAAATATTTGTCTTCCTTTTTAATACAATGACAAAATTGCCAACAAAAATTAAAAACCACCTAATCCGACTTTAGAACAAAATTCTACCTAGAGTTATCAAAAGAGACTATGCGAAACACGTTTAATAAACGAGCACTTAAACTTGTTCACAAAACAAAGATTAGCTGTGTTTTCAATGACTTTATTTACCGGATCGCGGTGCCTGATCTCCAGAGATGCCTGAGATTGGCCGAGATGGTCGCTGAGAGAGACTTCTAATTACATTCCTGTCTTGAACTCATTATATAGATAAAAATAAAAAGCTGCGGCAAAAGAACTTGATTTACTTTTCGGATGTTATCTTTTTCGTCACAAAGGCTAAGATCACGATGGAAATGCTTTCACGATGAAACATAGGCGAATTAGTTGAAATAAATTTTATATTTAGGTTATGGTTTTACAGAAAAGGTACGTGACTCTTAAAGGTTCATCACAGGCATGAGATTTTATTAATCGTTTTCGCTATTCAAAAAATAGGTTACCTTTTTATCAGAATTAACGATGAACTGCTAAAATGGAATTCCAAAATACTACCAGATTATTTCTGCGCTCACATAAAATATTTTTTATGTGAGCGCAGAAAAATTGAAAGTTTATTCGTATAATTACGAATAAAATTTTCACAATTCACTAAGCGATTTTTCTAATGCGAAAATAAATTTCAAGGGCCCACTCGATTTACTGTGCTTTTAAAAATTACTTTTGAAACATATTCAAATTGGTTATTCAACACATTTACATCAAATATCATATCGCATTAAGGAGCTCGATATTTTTTTCGAATGGTTATTCGTTTAAAATATACAATGTAAGACTAGTTTTTGTCTACCAACTTTACATGCGAGTGAAAAAACCATTTAATTTTCAACCACATCGATATTGCTTTTTATAAGGCCTACGGATAAGTGATAGATATATAAACAGAATAATACAGATATATTGTGTATACAGAAGATTACGTATCTATGCAACATTATTCTATGTAGAATAAATTCAAACCATTTTAAAATCTGCGATAAATCGGCGTTGATTTGGAGTAACTCTAACAACATGTAACTTTTATATCACACAGAGACCAGTTTTCACCCTTGGGACGTCAGCGTTGGAGTACCAAATATGTAATGTAACTTTAAACTGCACGACTAAACCAGTCACTAGTTAGTAAATTTTGTACAAACTAGCGTAATGCAATTTCTGTTATTTGGCACCAACATTTTTTGAATAAAAGCAAAATTAAAGAGAGTTACTTTTTTATCAACTTATAACTTAATACATTCTTAGATTTACGCGAATATTTGATATTTTAAATAAAACTATCTCTTCGGATTATTTCGCGGATTTATTTTGATTTTTGGTTTCCGTTCCAATTTTAGTATATGTACTCGCTTCGGCAGTACATATACTAAAATTGGAACGGGAACCAAAAATCAAAATAAATCCGCGAAATAATCCGAAGAGATAATTTTATTTAAAACTTATAACTTTTACTAATGTAAATACAATTATTCAAATCGTTGATATTAGATTAAATAACATATATAATTCTACATGCAAACATAAAGCCAAACTTTATATAAAACATATTTTACAAGTCCATTAATAATGGTTTCGTGTGTAAGCGAGAAGAAGCAGGTGTTTCTTTCAGGTGCGGCTTGCTCTGAGTCGTCTAAAGGAGAGTTCCGCAAAGAATCAGAACTTAACCTATGTGTTTTTGTTATAAAAAGTAATCTTGAGCGTATGTCGGTCACGACGACCAATCTAACTGAGGCTATAGGAATCAACTAGGAAATAGCCTACTGCATAATTGTATGCGCAAACATAAATCTACTCTCTATTGCTTCCATTGTCATAGCTCGGAAGACAATTCGGCAAGCGATGAAATATATGATGCAAATCAACGGCTTTACGTGTACTCCGAAGCACGGGTGCGTAACACCGCCAACTTTGGGCCGTTAATAAGAAACGCTGTGTCGGGGCAGAAAACCCTAATCACTATTCTTGGTCGTCTCAGGACTTGGACTTAGGATTTATTTGAAGAACAATGAAATTTTTGTGATATTTTCCTGTAAAATATAAGTAAATCTATACTTTAATGTATTTTTTAAAATTGTTTTTTTCTAGTCTTGCCACTTTCAGACATTAGGAGAATAAAGCTTAATAATTTGCTATGTTTCTACAATATGTTTTCAAGTGTCCATTTTAGAATAATTTAATGACAATATCTTTATCTTTCTATTCCTAATTTAATTGATGTAACATTTTTAGAAGTTTTGTATAAGTGTTTTAATACTTTCTGAGATAATAGAGTGCGACAGACAGATATACCGACAGACACATGAGCACTCCTATTAGGGTTTCGTTACCTCCATATCAGGTACGGAACCCTAAACATAAAAAAGCAGTGGTAACCAAAAATTTATTACTGGAGATAAATTGAAACAAGTATATCATAACGTTGAGGCCTGAAGGTTACTTTATTCATGACACCCAAGTTTTATTACACCGTACGGCGGCATATTTTTTTGCAGTAAAACTAAGCGTAAAACATCTGGCAGTAACGATATGCCCCAATTTTCGGAACACTTCCTCTTTATATATAAAACTGTATCAATAAAACCAATAAAGCGGAGAAAGTAAACGCGTTTGGTGTTTTTTATTACTTTTTTTTCAGAAACACGAACAAAAAGATTGCTTATGCCCGATTACGTTGTTTAGCAGGTCATATTTATAATTATGTTGTTTTCTTTTGAATTTGTATTAAAATTACAATTATTGTAATACAAAGTACCTAGCAGATAATTGAAATTTTTTTATAGCCTTACAGAAAGAATGTAATGCTCATTTGTTTCCACTTTGTGTGCCTCTTTTACATAAAAGATGATTAATATTTGCTAATATTACATTCGCACTTAATTTTTATTTTCATGAATTAAATCATAACTTGTTACACTGGCAATGTACTTGTATCCTTACTATAGGTAACGCTCGTCAAAACATCTTCAAATGACAAAAATATACTGCTCTTGTAATATATTTTTACTAAGCCTTACAAAGAAGCTCTCCAAACAAAGATACTTCACATCGCATCAAAATCAATAAGGAGGGGAAAAGAATAAAGTATTTCAGTACTAAATCAAGATAGCTTTATGAAAGGTTATTTCTCGGATGGATTCATAAGTGATACCCTTTCCCTCGACGACAGTAGACTTGCGATAAACGTTCCGCTCCACAACAGAACCCGTCTACGGCTCGAGATAAGTTTTGTAATCCTAAACAGTTGGTAAACTCTAGGGCACAACAAAACAAATATACGTAAACATAAACTATCATAAAGTAACTTCAACTAGTTTAGCAGAATTTAGTGATCAGTATATTCTACTTTTATTCATATTATAAATGTAAAAAAGTGTGTTCTTTTGGTTGTCTTTGCATCATGCGTTTTCTGAATG